TTGGTATGTATTTTTCTACATAGACGATTAACAGACATTTGGGTTTCCGGTCCCTTGAGCCACCTTGATGCATTCAAAATGTTTATGCGTGGGCCTTAGCAAAACAGGCAAATTCATTGCCCTTGTCCTGTTTGCTTTTAGCTCTGCGTAAAGGATACAGATCTTCAAAGCAGAACAGCTCTGTGAGTACTCTGGGCTGGGGTCAACGATTTTCCATAAGCAGATGGGTAGCAGTCAGTGGTGTGCATCATAAAGCCCATCCTGGGCAAACTCCTCCTGAGATGGAAGGTGCTAGAAGGTGAAGTGGTTCAGAGGAGAATGGAGGGTGGAGGAGAATCTGCCTCCCCTTTAGAGGAAGACAGGTGAGGCTAGGTTGGAAGGTTGCTTGGAACTGACCACACCTTTGGTCTTGAGCCTGCTTTTTCTTTAAGCAATTTCAGGCTAATTCTTGTGCAAACTGCCTTTTATCGCCACACAATGTAAATATCTGAGAGAGCTTACCCTGGGGGAAGCCACTGCTGCATTCTCCTTCACAACCAGGTCAGAAGCCACATTCCTCATCCTAAATACCGCCTCCTCTTTGGAGCTTCCTTTAGACTGTTGGCTCCAGCATACCTGAAGCGGGCAGTGGCTAAAAAGAACAGAGGCATACTTTCCAAGAGTATGAATTTTGTTTTGATTTTTTTTCTTAGTGTTATGATCACCTTTATAATTACTTTCTTGATTCATTTCAGATGAAAAAGCCAAGATGACATCTAATACGGCAAGAGTTTTGCATCAGGACCTCCTTGATTTATGTAGTCCCGTCTGTATTTATTGCTATTACTAAGTTCATTCCTGTCAAATTGTCAGAGGTTATGAAGAAGTGTTTCATTAAGCACTTAGAAGTAGTTATTATGACTAATTTAATATACTTGCAAGAACACTTTCAGGAAGAAAGCTGTAAAGATTGAAAGATAAGATTTTTAAAGTCTTCTCCTTGAAGGATATGTCAATTAATTGAAATTTGTCCTGAAAAGATTGGTAACCATTTACATTTAGTGTGTATTCTTCTAGGTAGGAGAGTAACAGACATTTGGGTTTCACAAATCAGTACACTACCAAAAAAAACTGGGGGATGGGGGCAACATAGAGGGATCAATTTCTAAAGTTGCCAAGGAAACACATAAGTAATATCAATTATATCTACCTTCACTGTCATTTCAAAAAAGAAATGTTCTAGGACTAAAAAAGGAAGGATATAATCTCAGAATATAAAGTATTCCTTTAGATGGAAAAAATTCAGTATTATAAAAAACAACATATGTCCTTATTTTTCTCATCTTACCGTGGTTGACAGTCACGAACTTTGTGAGTTTTGTGTGGTGATGAAGATGAAAACGGCAGGGGACAGGGGATAGCATGTTTGTTTCCTAGTATCCTTTGTTCTTTTCGCATAGCCATTTGCATAGATCCAGCGATATTATGAATCAGCCTGTACTCTTCTCATATACCTTAATTTAAAATTGCAGCTCTCTTATTATTTATCGCTGACTTTCCCCACTTCCATTCTTTCTTCATTTTTTTCCCTGTAAGAGTCTCTGCTTCAGTTTCCCACACAGCTGGGGTGGGTTATAGGGAGAGGCAGCCTTGGCCAGAAGCACCCTTGATTGTCTCTGCTGTGCTCTCACTCTTAGAAAAAAAATTTTTTGTCTAATGTTGCAGGAGCTAAATGTGCCACAGTGAAAGAGAAAGAGAGAGAGTTGCTTGCTGTCAGACAGGTGGTTAAAATCCCTTTATTGCCTTAGAAGCAAACAGAAGAAATGAGCAGAATGTATTAAATCTTAACAGTCTTTTGTTTCTAAGAAGAACAGACACATCCTCCTGTTAGGCTCCTCTTTGCTTCCTTGGAAACGTCAGCATGAAATGGAGAGAGAGGCCATTAAAAACTGTGGTTCACAGATTTCTCTGTCTTCTTGGAGGCCCTAGTAGGTTTTGTGGGGAAGCCTTCAGATCATGTCCCTCATTCAGGATTTCTCAAATTAGAATTTGGAAGCCCTGTGAAAATGCTGTAAGGATAAGGTAGGAGGACTGTGAAAATCTGAAAGGTTAGACAATTAAGTAGAACCCTGGAAACGAGAAATTAAAAAACGGTGGGTTGGGATAGTTTAAAGTGGAAGAGGAAACAGAAAAACTTAACTTTTTTAATTGGACTTGGAATCAGGAGATCTGAGTTCCAGTCTTGGCTGTGTTACCTTGGGCAAGTGCTTCTCCCTCTCTTGGGCCTTTGGAAAATAAGGAGGTTGGATTAAGAGGAGGATTAAGATGCATTTTCATTTTAGCTTGAAAATTCTGTGATCCTAAAAAGATTCCCACATAGTTTAATGTCTAAAGGAGTTGGCAAGAAAGACTGAAAATGTAATACCTTTGCCCCGCCTAGCAGAGTTATGAATCAGCTTTGTTCTAGGACATATAAATATCCTTCAGAATTACAGGTCATCAGGAAAGAGTTTCTTCACCCTTGTTAAATACAATGACCTTGTACATTAGCACAGAGAAGGAACCTTAACTAGTTTTAACAGAGCACAGCAATATTATAAATAGTCATTGCCTCTCATTTTGCCTTACAGTTTTGAAACAGAGTCTGTACTAAAACTATGTCTATTATTTAAACTTAGAAGTTAGCCTAGAGCCTGTCTTAGAAAGATGTGAAATTCCAGGATTCAAAAGAAACCCCATATGTAAATCAACTATACTTCAATTAAAAAATAATAAAATTTAAAAAATAAAGACACCCCATAACCTTTCCCCAATGTTTTCTCTACCTACTGTGAGGTACGGGGAATTCCAACATTCCCTCATCTGGTTTTGACCCTTTGGACTACAAATACCAGTGGAGAAGTGACAGAAAAATCCAGTTGCTCCCCTCTCAACCTTTTTATCAATAAGGACAACTTTCATAATTATTATTTTTCTCCTTCTTGGGCCCCATATTTTGAAAGAACTGGTCTATCAAACAAATTTTACTTATTAAATAAGAGTTATCTGTTTTCCCAATTTAAAAAACATTTATCAATAATACCTACTTGTCAGTCTAAGCTTCTTTTATGACAATACAATTACCCACTTGATGTAATTCCATTTAAAAGAAAATAAATCTCGTACTATAGTTAACCTGCGCAGTTTTTTAGAGGTTAACAATATAATCATTGCAATCAGGCTTTTTGAATCATTGAAAATAGCTTACAACTATTACCAAATAGTTCACCAACTTTACGCCTTTCATCACCATGATCATGACTACTTTCCTGAACCTATTAGCCAGGGGTCATAAAGTCAAATTCTTACAGGGGTCAAGCAGATCAATGAGTGAAGCAGGCTAGATGTACAACAATAGGGAGTGGTGGAGAATGTGGCAAATAGCACATCTATGTCTAAAAGGGGGCTGATAGTTACCACTGGGGACAGGTCTTCTGATTCTGTAAGAGAAGTCAGAAATCTGGATTTTTATGTGTAGTCCTCCTAATTTAAAAAAAAACTTTAAAAAAAATCTTGTATATCTAGGAGTAGAAGAATATTCTCACCCCAATATGTGTCATTCTCTGTTAGGTAAGTTAAAACCTGGTGTTGACTTGGGCTTTCATTGTTTCATGGAGATTTTTGTGAAACAGCTCTTGTAATTTTCACTCATAGTCTACTATTCCCCGAAGCTCAAGCATGATCACGATGAACCAAATCAGAGGACAGTTAGTTCTGCAGAAATACCTCAGAGATATTGCAGATACACTGCAATAAAGCAAACATCTCAAAAAAGTGGGTAACAAATTTTTTTGGTTTCCCGGTGCATATAAAAGTTAGGTTACACTTCACTGTAGTCTATTAAATGTGCACTAGCATTATGTCTAGAAACGATGTACATACCTTAATTTAAATATACTTTATTGCCGGGACTTCCCTGGCAGTCCAGTGGTTACGACTCCGGGCTGCCAATGCAGGGGGTGCGCGTTCGATCCCTGGTCGGGGGACATAAGATTCCCACATGCTGCGGGGTGCAGCAGAGAAAAAAACCCAAAACTTTATTGCTGAAAAATGCTAACCATCATCTGAGGCTTCAGTGAGTTGTATGTAATCTTTTTGCTGGTGAAGGGTCCTGCCTCAATGTTCTTGGCTGCTGACTGATCAGGATGATTGCTGCTGAAAGGTTGGGGCGGCTGTAGCCATTGCTTAAAATAAGGCAGTAATGAACAATGAAGTGTGCCACATCAATTGATTCTTTCTTTCACGAGTGACTTCTCCATAGCAGGCAATGCTGTTTGATAGCATTTTACCTGCAGTAGAACTTCTTTCAAAATTGTAGTCAATCCTCTCAAACTCTGCCACTGCTTTATCAACTAAGTTTATGTAATGTTCTAAATCCTTTCTTGTCATTTCAACAATCTTCATAGCATCTTCACCAGGAGTAGATTCCATCTCAAGAAACCATTTTCTTTGCTCATCCATAAGGAGCAACTCCTCACCCATGAAAGTTTTATTATGAGATTGCAGCAATTCATCACATCTTCAGGCTCCACTTCTAATTCTAGTTCTCTTCCTATTTCCACCACATCTGCAGTTACTTTGTCCACTGAAGTCTTGATCCCCTCAGTCATCCATGAGGGTTGGAATCAACTTCTTCCAAATTCCCGTTAATGTTGATATTTTGATCTCTTCCCATGAATCATGAATGTTCTTAGTGGCATCTAGAATGGTGACTACTTTCCAGAAGGTTTTCAATTGACTTTGCCCAGATGCATCAGAGGAATTACTATCGATGGCAGCTATAGCCTTATGAAATGTATTCCTTAAATAATAAGATTTGAAAGTTGAAATTACTCCTTGATCCATGGGCTGCAGAGTGGATGTTGTGTTAGCAGGCATGAAAACAGCATTAATCTCATTGTATATCTCCATTAGAGCTCTTGGTGACCAGGTGCATTGTCAATGAACATTGTCAATATTTTGAAAGGAATCTTTTCTTCTGAGCCATAGATCTCAACAGTGGGCTTCGAATATTCAGTAAACTATGTTGTAAACAGATGTGCTGTCATCCAGGCTTTGTTGTTCCATTTATAGAGCACAGGTTTTCAACAGGTACCAAAAAACTGGAAAGCATTTCAGATAAGATGTTAATAGCGCAAAGATAGATACATGCCTCAGTGAGACAGACTGACCCTTATACTAGCTAAATAATGAGAGCAATACTCTGTAGGACTGTTATTTTCTGAAGTAAAGTTGATCTGTTTCTCAATTTTATGTGTATAATACTCTCCTGGTGCTAGCTTTGGCGAATTTTGAAATGTTGGCCCCAGTAATGATTGTGCTAGTTCATAATCTTTAGATTAGATTATGAGTATAATCCCCAAAAGCGTTAGAAATATTTCCAAGCAGTTTCTGATCTTTTGTTTTGTTTTCTTTTTTGTTTTTTGTGGTACGCGGGCCTCTCACTGTTGTGGCCTCTCCCTTTGCAGAGCACAGGCTCCGGACGCGCAGGCTCAGCGGCCATGGCTCACGGGCCCAGCCGCTCCGCGGCATGTGGGATCTTCCTGGACCGGGGCATGAACCCGCGTCCCCTGCATCGGCAGGCGGACTCTCAACCACTGCGCCACCAGGGAAGCCCCTATCTTGGTTTTTGACATGCCTTCCTCGTTAAGCTTAAAGTAAGAGATACGCGCATCTCCCTTCATTTGAATACTTCGAGGGCACTGTAGGGTTATTAATTGGCCTAATTTCAATACTGTTGTGTCTCGGGGAATAGGGAGGCCTGAGGAGAGAGAGAAACAGGGGAACAGCTTGGTCGATGGAGCAGTCAGAACACACTCAACACTTATCAACTGTTTGCTGTCTCATATGGGCACAGTTTGTGGCACCCCAAAACAATTACAAAAGTAACATCAAAGATCACTGATAACAGATCACCATAACAAATATAATAATAATGAAAAAGTTTGAAATATTGTGAGAATTACCAAAATGTGACACAGAGACACAAAGTGTGCAAATGCTGTTGGAAAAATGGCACCAATAGACTTGCTCGATGCAGGGTTGCCACAAGCCTTCAATTTGTAAAAATCGCAATATCTGTGACGCTCAATACAGCGAAGGGCAATAAAACAAAGTATGCCTGCGCTGTGCTGAGGACCTTACCTGCATTACTTGATCCTGTGAACAACCCTACAAAGTAGTCATGATTGTCTCAACTTTGATGATGAGGACACTTGGGCTCAGAATGCTTAACTAAGTAATAGAGAGGGACTAAGCTGGAATTCATACCAAGCTGATCCAAAGCCTGGGACCTGGAGTAGGAGAGAAGCTATCACAGAAGGGGCAAAAGTTGAATAACAAAGACAAACCACCTCTCTCATAATTTCCTGTTGTTGCAACAACCCTAACAGGTAGGTGTTGGAATCCCCGCTTTACAGATGAGGAAACTGAGGATTAGAGAAACAAAACAACATGCTCAAACTCACACAACTAGCAGGAGGTGTAGTTGGGATTTGAACTCAAGGCAGTTTGACCCCACAGTCCATGCTCCTTCCTCTACATTGCAGTATCTTGGAGACTAAGGATTAGGATAAAGCTACCAGAAAGCGATTGAGAACATCTTACTGCTTTAGGAGTTTGGGGGTTGTAGCAGAGATATTCATCATTCATTGAATATCCTTGTGCTCTTCACATTTCCCTGCTCGCTTGCCATTAACTAGCCCATGTGAATAGTTCTAGTCAAGGGGCTATGGATAGAATTAACGGTGTCACTTTCAGACAAAGCAAAGCAGAATGGATGCATATTCTTTCACTTCTTCCTTCCTCTGACATGGCAACTGGGGAGAACATCTGTTAGTCTGGGATTTGAATAATGATGTGGAATAGAGCTGCCTGCTCACATGTAAGTGAGAAGTAGATCCTTGTGTTAAACCACTATTCTTTAGGGTTAATTTGTTACTGCAGCATAACTTAGCCTATCCTAACACAGGTATTTTCATTGGCATAATTCAAATACTCAGAAAACTTTCATTATAATAAGAATTCAGGGGAAAGTTTAATCTAGTTTAATGAAATACTGCTTAATTTCAAGGGCAAGTTCATAATAATCCCCATCCCTCCCACCAGGGACCCTGAGTCATATAAAATGCTGAATAACCTGCAGTAAAATCATAATTTTCCCTCGGAATAGACTTACCTCTATTGACAACACATCTTTAAGGAAATAGGGCAGCAGTAGTGCAGCTAGAAAAAAATTAATTCATTTGTTTCATTTTATTAAAAAAGACAAATTATACTTAATCTCATGCCAGCAACTACAGAAAATAAAATCTATATGTTAATGACAAATTCCTTAACACTCATATAATCTTTTTTCAAGAGCCTATCTCTGAAACATCAAGGTTGTTGTATAGCAAACATCATGGGTAGTTTTTTTGTATGTAATACTAGAAAACATGAAGGACACTACTGTGAATTCTCAAAAACCTGTGCTCTCAGAGGATTGTGTACATATTAAGAAAAAATTGGAGATCTGGTGTTCCTGCCAACAGATTCCTAAAGTGTTGCTGCGGAAACTCATGAATTATTTGTCTTTATTTCTCTGGGCAATCTTGGTAGTAACAATAGTGTCAGCCTCTGTTTAAATTATAGGTATTAACAGCAATCTCTTACATTTTCATGTTACCTTATAGTTTATAAAACATTTTACACATGTCTTGTTTGATCCTCACAGTCACTCTGTGAGACAGGTAGTGATATCATTATTTATGATGATTTTGGCTCTAGGTGAGTACTACAATTGCTCTCGGTTTTGTACAGGACAATCATTCAGCCCTTTTGCCTTATGGGTAATCACTGTATGCCAGTAAGAATTGAGATAGGAGATGAGAAATTAAACTAACACATGTAATTTTTAGAACTTCTCAAAACTGAGTTCTCTGAGTTACCTGAGTATAGTGACATCACATAGCAATAGTTATACTCCAATAAACACTTCCCTTATATTGTACTATGCTAAGCACCTTATGTATAACTTACTTAATTTTTATAACAATCACATAAGAAGGGTTCTATTTTTATCACACCCATTTTACAGGGGAGGAAAACTGAGGCACAGAGAATTTAAGTCACACGTCCTGGGTCACACAGTTTGTTAGTGGCTGAATAAGAATTGAGACCAAGGTTGTATGGTTCCTGGGTCTTTAACCATTAGACAAAATTGCCTCTTACATTAATGACTAACTTATATAGTACTTCCTACATGGCAGGAACAAACATATATAAACTCATTTAATCCCTATAAGCAACACATTTAACATTTGAATTCAAATCGAAATTAGATTTAGGAGATAGGGAGGAAAAAGAGGATGGGTAAAAAAGGAGGGGTGCGGAGAGAGAGAGACAGACAGACAGGAAGAACAACTTAAAAGTGCCTGCAATGAGACCTGCCATTCAACTGAAAGAACATGTGCCCTGAAGTGAGCATGAGATGAGGAGGAGAATCAGCTCCCCTGGCCAGTCCCAGTTAATTCCCTCATGGCTCTCAAAGTGTGAGCATCTCATGTGCTGAGGAAGAATCTAGTGCTCACAGATTTGCCAACTACTTCATTTGGTTCTCAACCGAAGAAACAGCAATCTCTTCCCATACTGGAATAGAAACCTGCCCTGCAGTGCTTATTAAGAGGAGGTGTTTGGGTCTCTGAAGTGATACTTTCCCAAAGAATTTCCAAGGATAGTGTTGACTATAGTCTATTTTTGCCTGACTTTGGAACTTTATCTCTGAGTAAGCTGCAACCCACTTGTATCACTGAACATGAGCCGGGTCAAAGGGAGTAGCTGGATTCCTATAGCTGTAATGCAACTCTGCTGCATATATTCAACATTGCTCATGGAAAAGTTTCAGCTACCAGATGTACATGAAGCTACCACATGTACGAACAGAAAAACAGGCCTCTCCTCCTGGCTCAGCCACTAAAGAGCTGCTCAGCTCAAGGGTGTCACATAATCTTTCAGAGACTCTGAACTAAGGGACTATACCAAAAGATAATCTCTAAGATCCTGCGAGTCCTCATATTATATGACTGACATTTAAAAAAATAATTTAATGGTAACAAAACTTAGGAAGCCTTACCTCCTTGTGCGTCATTCTGCAAACTGTATGTTCCTCTTGCAACAGATTCTCATCCCAAAACAGGTCATTTTTCACTCCAGCTGTCATTTGTAGGCAGTTTATAGGCAGCTCAAGGGCATCATTTAAAACACTGCACTAAAGAGGATATAGACTTTGGTGTCGATAAAGAATCATAGCCTTGAATTCCTGAATTTTATAGTTATGGTACTCATAAAAGTGTTTAATAACAAACTTGGCTCACTTGGAAATCACCAGTCTAAAGGACTTTGCCCCAATCTGACATGTGGATCATATTTGTTTTTAAGAAAATATTTAACGATTTATTAACAATTTCATATTTCTGCTTAAGATTTCTGCACAACCTCTTTCAATCACTCTAGATGTAGGCATAATGTGTTTTACGATTCCACAATGCTATTAAGTTAAGCATCTTGGGACTTCCCTGGTGGCGCAGTGGTTGAGAATCTGCCTGCCAGTTCAGGGAACACGGGTTCGATCCCTGGTCCAGGAAGATCCCACATGCTGCGGAGCAACTAAGCCCGTGCGCCACAACTACTGAGCCTGTGCTCCTAGAGCCCGTGAGCCACAACTACTGAGCCCATGCGTCTAGAGCCCATGCTCTGCAGCAAGAGAAGCCACCACAATGAGAAGCCCGCGCACTGCAATGAAGAGTAGCCCCCGCTTGCCGCAATTAGAGAAAGCCCGTGTGCAGCAACGAAGACCCAACACAGCCAAAATAAATAAATAAAATAAATTAATTTTTAAAAAAGTTAAGCATCTATTAAGCTATTAAGGCTTCTATCATTGACTTTGTTTTGTCATGATGAGTGGTTATCCTGATTTTCTACCTATATTAGACCAATTAAAATGGGCCAATGCGAAAACTTAACAGCTGCATATGTATGGGCCCAAGAAAAACTTCCTGATTATGTTCTATTTGTCAAAGCCTAGAGTAAAAGCACCCATAAAACTAAACCATCCACAAATGGAATATCCACAATGGTTACTTCATTGCAAATTGAAAAATAACGTTCAGCAATTTATAAATCTGCAAGTTTATTATTTAAACTGACATGTCTCAAGTACTTGTTTCAAAATTCTTTCACTTACATTATATCTTTTGATCCTTAGGCTTAGAGAGCCTGAACTCTTAGTCTCTGGAATCAGACTACCTAGGTATATATCCAAATTCTACCACTTTACTAGCTGTGTGGTGATAGGCAAGTTACCTAACCTCTCTGTTCCTGCATTCCCTCATCTATAAAATGGGGATAGAAATAGAATCTACCTCCTGACTTATGGTTACTATGAGGATTAAATGAGCTGAGACGTGTACACTGTAAGTCACACTAAGCACTCACTGAATTTTAGCTATTATAGCTACTATGCCACTTTACAGAAGAAACTGAGCCTCAGATTAAATGATTTTTTACACCTATAAACAGGAGTTGGGACTTAAAAACAAGGTCGAATGAACTTCAAACCTTTGCCTCTTAACTCCACATTGCTTTTCTTATTTAAGAGAAGAAACCAGGCTTTCTAAGAGAGAGCTTTTAAGGAACATATTCTTTTCTTTTTTTAGTCCTTAAAAGAGAGGACAAGTTTTTCATCTACTTTCAGGGTGAGATGCATATTATCTTCTTTTAGTTTTTTATTTGCCCTGTGAATGTGTCCAGTTTTACTTTTATCTGATGAATTATTCTTGGAACAAGGAAGAAAGAAAATTAAATGAAAGAAAAATAGAATGAGATGCACAAATGGGAATCTGATGAGAAAATATTATAAAGAATGTGCATTAGAAAAGGTGGATTTGAGTCACCACCTCCTTCGTATTAACTATATTTCTCAGATTTTTATACTTTGTCTCAAGAAACACCTCTGAAAAGAGTACAAGAATGTCATAATTATTACACTTAAATATTTGCTTAAGATAGCAAAGAATGTAGTTCATGAACAAAAGAAGAAATAAAGAAAGCTCTGGTTTTGTTCATTGCCCCATTAAGGAAAACCAGTCTAACAGCATTCCTAAAAGGAAACCGGGATCTATGGTCTCCAATGATGCTTATTATTTTCTCTCAAGTCCAATTTCTCCTTTTTCATCTCTATCATTTTCTCTTCCATGTGCCTTTCTTTTCCTTTCATACTCATCTCAATCTTTCTGTGATTCTACAATTTAGGTTTTGGTGATCACGGGTGATCATTTTCTAAAAACGATTAGTTCAAAGAGAAGCATTCTCAGAGTAGCCCAGCTAGGGCCTCCTTGTGGCTAGATCTTCACAGCGTTATATCGGTTCCTTATTCTGTTGTTGTTCACAAGGATCTGGCAAAAGGAAAGAAAAACAAGGGCAATTTCCCTGCATCTTCCAGAATAAGGTCTTAACCCCCAATGGACACAATGGGCTCTCCGCGTTTGGCCCCTGCCTTCTCGCTCTTTAGTTCCAACCATGCTCAGTGTCTTCAGTTCCCAGACAGAGACTTGCTGCCTTAAATTCTTCTTAAAAGAAGAATTACCTCCAGGTAGAATGCCTTTCCTCAATCATTATCATTTAACAAACCCTTAATTGCCCCAAATTCAAATCATTTCTCCTCTCTTCCAAGGAGCTCTCCCTAAACCTCCCGGTCTGACTTACATATTCCTCTTTCATGCTCCACATTACACCATGCAAATCTCTACCAGAGCATAATGGTTAGGGTTAGGATTGGGGTTAGGGTGATTCACCTCCAAAACATATCCCATTTTCATCCACTTCCTTTCATCTCCACTACTGCCCTCTTGATCAAGGTCACCAGTCACCTTTTGCCTGGACAATTATAGTCTCCGAACAGGTCTCTGGCTTACATTCCCATCTCCCTTCAGTCTCTCATTTACACTGCAGCTAGAGTGACCTTTTTAAGAAGAAATATTTCATATATACAAAAATATAGATAACGTATGAAATCAGGTGTAACAAATAAGATGAAAACCCACGTACCCACCACCAGTTTAAGAAACGCAATATTGCCAATATCTTTGAAGCTGGCTGTGTCTCTTTCCCAAAGGCAAACACTACCTTAAATTCGATGTTTAATATTCCCTTGTTTTCTTTTTTTAACATCTTCATTGGATTATAATTGCTTTACATTGTTGTGTTAGTTGCTGCTGTGTAACAAAGTGAATCAGCTATACATATACATACATCCCCATATCTCCTCCCTCCTGCGTCTCCCTTCCACCCTCCCTATCCCACCCCTCTAGGTAGTCACAAAGCACCGAGCTGATCTCCCTGTGCTATGCAGCTGCTTCCCACTAGCTATCTATTTTACATTTGGTAGTGTATATATGTCCATGCCACTCTCTCACTTCATCCCAGCTTACCCTTCCCCCTCCTCGAGTCCTCAAGTCCATTCTCTACATCTGCATCTTTATTCCTGTCCTGCTCTTAGGTTCTTCAGAACTTTTTTTTTTAGATTCCATACATATGTGTTAGCATATGGTATTTGTTTTTCTCTTTCTGACTTACTTCACTCTGTATGACAGACTCTAGGTCCATCCACCTCACCACAAATAACTCAATTTCATTTCTTTTTATGGCTGAGTAATATTCCATTGTATATATGTGCCACATCTTCTTTATCCATTCATCTGTCGATGGACACTTAGGTTGCTTCCATGTCATGGCTATTGTAAATAGAGCTGCAATGAACATTGTGGTACATGACTCTTTTTGAATTACGGTTTTCTCAGGGTATATGCCCAGTAGTGGGATTGGGTTGTTTGTTTTTTTGATATTGAGCTGCATGAGCTGCTTGTATATTCCCTTGTTTTAAAAACAAATTCTTTTACCACGTATGTCTGTATGTCTAAACAATACATTATGTAATTTTGTTTGTTGTTGAACTTTTAAAAAGTGGTTGTGTGTCATTTGCTTTGCAATTTGCTCTTTGCACTCAACATTATGTTTCTGAAATTCACCCACGTTGATTTTCATCTTCTCTGTAGTAGTCCATTGTATGAATATGTCACAATTCACACACACTCCTGTTGATGAACTATTGGGTTTTTTCCAGGTTCTATGCAATCACCAGCAATGCTCACATAAACAGTCATGACTGTGACGCCTAGGGCACGTATGCAAGAATTTCTCTAGGGCAGGGCTGTCCAATGGAACTTACTCTGATGATGAAAGAGTTCTGTATCTATGCTCTCCAATATAGTAGCCGCACGTCATTACTGAGCACTTGGAATGTGACTACTACTATTGAGAAAGTAGATTTTTAACTTTAATCTTAATGAATAAATTTAAATAGCCACAAGTGGCTAGTGGCTAGTGGCTACCATACTGGACAGTGTAGTTTTCGAATACAAACCCACGAATAAAGTTTCTGGGCTATAGAGTACTTGCATCTTCAACTTTACAAATATTGACAAATGTTTTCCAACTTGGTAATATTATTCATATCTCCTCAAGCAGTATGTAACGATTGCCAATATTACTTTTTAATACCTGCCTTTAAAACTTTTGCCTATCAAGAGATAACATGGCATCTTATTAAAATTTTATTGTGCATTTCCAACATTCCTGTTGCCATTCATTCTTCCTTTTGTGTGAAATGCCTGTTTAGGTCTTTTTTCCATTTTTTATTGGATTTTTTGTCTTTTTCCTACTGATGCTTAGGAGCTCTCTACATATTTTTAGTATTATTTTTTAATTTGCCTTGACACTGGATCTGTTTAACTAGGGAAGCCCCATAGAAGCAATAGGCAGAAGGCATATCTGCAAAGGCAGGTGATGCCACTCACTGAATTTATATGCATTTTCTTTTCTAAAATTGTGGATTCATGCTAGAATCCTGCTTCTTGTAGCTTTGTTCCATGAGATGTCACAGGGCTCAACAGTATCTTTTCTGGATGGAGTTACAGGGGTAGGTCTGAACAATCCTACTCTTAGGGAAACGTCTTCCTGGTTTGGTCATCTGGGGCAGACCCATTGCAAAACCAGCTTTCCTCTGCTCTTCTTCTCCGTGCCCACACACGGGCCGAGTGTATGGGTGTGAGTTGCTCGGTGGGAAACTGGTACTAAGGGTGACACCCTGGCAATGAGGGCAGAGCAGGAGACCTGGCAAAGTGATGATGATAGGAATTTCTGGGCATGGGGTGGGGAAATGTAGTCATTGGCATGAAAAGGGTAGCAGTAAAACTGGCCCCTCCACCTTCTCCAGTGATTCCATCCTTCCTCTTTTCCAGTGCTTATATTCTAGCCATGGTACCTTCTCTGCCACATATCTAATCTCTCATCTGTACTGGTTCCTGCCTTTCACTCTCCAGGTAGACATCAGTTTTCCTTTTCTCCCAAAAGACCTTCCCTGGTATTTCCTTCCCTCTCAACTTACTGCAGTGTGGCGGCTTCTGCCCACCCCACCATTCACTGACGCTGTCCTCTCTAAGGTTGCCTCTGACGTAGCTACCAAACTTTTCTGGAGCTTTCAGTCCCATTCACGATCTTCTCCTTGCCTTCCTGGGATTCCAGGGCATAACTCTACGGGTCTTCTCCTCCCTCTCTCAGTGCTCTTTCTGTGATTTACTGCTAGCTTCTCTGTCTTCACCCATTCTTTAATGCCACTATTTCCAGAGTTAATGGTACCCCCTTATGGCATCCTTGTAACAAGCAGTAAAAGGTTCACCATACTCTGATTGGGCGCAGCCCTGGGCCAGGGCATGTGGCTTCAGGTCCCATTCACCCCCCTCAGCCTGGTACCCTTGTGCCATTAACACCCTGCACAACGGCATGCAGCTGCCCAGGGTACAATCTTGGCGCTCATCTTTTTCTTCTTTATTCTCTTTCCCTGTGCAACCTCGTTGACTTTCATGGTTCGAAGACCTGTGTAATTCTAGACATCTTTTAATCTGCCTCCTGGACTTCTTTTCCTGGGTGTCCTGTGGGCATCCCAAACTTGCCAAGGCCCAAACTAATTTCATTACCCACTCACTTGCATATTCCCAAACATATCCATTTTTCTGTATTCCTTCTCTAAGTTAAGGACACCACCATGCATCCACTCCTCAAGTGAAAACTTCCAGATTATCTGTGCTTCCTCCTTTTCCACAGTTTAAAGCTTCTATCATCCCCCAAGTGCACTGCTGGGTTAGCCTTCTAACTAGTTTCCCTAGGTCCAGAATCTCTCCCCTCCAAATCACTCTCCCCACTGCTCTTGCATTTCTTTCTTTACATAGAAATGAGCATATGGTTCCCTTGTTCAAAAACCTACATTGGCTTCTAGTTAACCATAAGATAAAGTCCAGATACTCAGGCATGGCATACAAAAGCCTTCATATTCTGGCCCAAATCTACCTTTCCAGTCCTACACTTTGTCCCTGATCTCAACACCTTCCCTGATCTTAACCACATCAGACTATGATGCACAGTTTCTTGAACATAATTTTGCCACATGCTTTAATGCCCCAGTGCCTTTGCTGGTGCCTTGCATGCCCTTCCTCTGTGTTTTGCCTTGTGAAAGCCCATCATCCACTCTTTAAGACTATGTTCACTGTGACCCCTTTTTTCAGGCACCTCTGGTCCAATTAACAGCTCCTTCCTCACTGCTTTTACATCTCTACTGTTATATTAATACAGATTCTCCAAAAGTTATTTTGCATCTTTTTCATTATATTGTGTGTTTCTTAAGGGCAAGGTTAAGCTTAAGGTCTCCATATCATCAGCAGTTTGCCCAGTGACTGTACATGGTAGATATTGAATAAAATTTTGAGTTGAATTGGGCAGGATGCGTGAACATCATTTTGTGAAAGGACCAATGATTTCTTTCAGCATAATTTTCAACCTGTTCCTTTTCTTCAGACATCAGAAGATTCTCAGAATGGGACAGCTGATGGGCCCTGTTGGAGACAGTTGCTATGTCATATCCCCAAACTTTGGCTAGGTCTCTCTAGGGACACAGAGACTGTGATTTCTCAAATGACTGATTGGTGTCTGAGTATGGTTTTTCCCGATATTAGAGTTCCTTAGAATCAGAGATTATTTTCAATCTAGGACCTACATGCTAGGTTCCACAGAAGACTCTCACTGCTCTAAGTAGCAGAGTCAGGCTTTTCAGTGGTAGATCTATCTGGATTTGTTTCATCACCTTTGGGTCCCATCCCAACATCTCACTAAAGTTTGAGATTTTAGAGCACGAAAAACAACATAAAAAGGCTTCACTATCTCAAAACCTTGTTAAACTTCTCAGTTATCCTGAAAGCCTGGGGACGAGGGCCCGCTCATTTGAAGGTTTTGTAGAGGGCTGGACAAACAGTATCGATGCATCAGACTGACTTCTGTCACTTCCCTTAGCTAGGTAGGAGACACTCACTGACTCCATGAAGCCCAGAATGGGTAGTTTCCTCGAAATGAGCAATTGTATGTTTTTTATGTTGTTGGTTTTTTTTTTTTTTTTTTTGTCTGCTTTGGGTTTTTTGGCCGCGCGCAGGCTTTCCCTAGTTGCCGCGAGCGGGGGCTACTTTTCCACGCAGTGCGTGGGCTTCTCATTGTGGTGGCTTCTCTTGCTATGGACCATGGGCTCTAGGCACGCAGGCTTCAGTAGTTGCAGCATGCGGGCTCAGTACTTGTGGCTTGCATGGGCTTAGTTGCTCCACAGCATGTGGGATTTTCCCGGACCAGGGATCGAACCCGTGTCTCCTGCATGGGCAGGCGGATTCTTAACCACTGCGCCACCAGGGAGGTTCCAGCAATTGTATGTTTGTTGAACCCTGGTAGCAACTGAGTGGGTAAGAAAGAGCTTGATTCCATTTCCCCTCAAACACAAAAAACATTGCCATTGAAAGTGCTGTGGCTGGTCGGCCAAGGATACCTATTGGAAGAGCTTTCGGGTTCATTTCTGAAACGAGTCAACCCATCCTAAGCCCAGTGCTTAATTATGCGGCCCCTGAGCCCGCCCTACCGCCTTGGAGCCCCCTTTTGGCCTCTGAAAAGGCTTCATGGGGCCAATTTCACAATGCTAGGGTATTCGGTCTCCGGGCCCAGCATGTAACCCCTCGAGTTCCACGCTCGGGGCTGACCTTATCCCAGGCGGGCGCCCCGGTGGTCAGGAAGCATAATCACGGCTGTCTGTGGACGCCGGCTCCGCCGGGGCCGACGGCTGGCAGCGCTGAGGGAGAGCTTGGGCCTGAGCCGAGGGGAACCCGCCCGTGGCGGGGGCGCAGGCGGCTGCAGCGCGGCAGCGACCCGCCCCCTCGGCCCTCCCACGGGCGGGGCCAGCCCCGATGGCGCTGACTCAGCAACGCGTGGGGGGAGTTTTGTCCCTCCGCGGACCCCGTTTCTCTCTGCCGTCCGCCACCGCTGAGCCGGTTTCCTCTTTCCGGCGGTCGGGGTGCGAGAGCCAGGTCGGGCCGCTTAGGCAGCGAGCTGCTGTGCAGCCCCGGCTCTTGCCTGAGGACCCCGAAACTACCGTTCCCCCGCCGGGCAGCGTGGGCGCCATGAACGACGCGGGTGAGGCGCCACTCCTCCCCGCCGAGGGTAAGCCGGGGGGCGCGGGTGGCCTCTGGGGACTCAGCTGCGCCCCGGAGGCCCGGCGGCGGGGAAGGGCCGGGGCGGCGGGGAAGGGCCGGGGCCGGGTCCCGGGGCGATGGTGAGGGTAGAGCTTTCTGGGTGGGCTGGAGCGGCCCAGAGGGAGGCAGCATCGTGGGCGAGGACGCCGGTGAAGGGCTTCTCCGCTGCTATGGTCACCACGGGATGCTCTTACCAAGTTAGAGCCCGAGTGTGGGAGTCCCGGATCAGCCCTTCTCAGCCTCTTTTTGATGTTATAATCAATCCCGTTTGGTTTTTTAGCAGGACTGAATTCGGAGAAGGTAGCTGCTCTGCTTCAGAAACTGAACTCCGATCCTCAGTTCGTACTGGCCCAGAATGTCGGCACCACCCACGACCTCCTGGACATCTGTCTGAAGAGGGCCACGGTCCAGGGTGTTCAGCATGTGTTCCAGCACGCCGTGCATCCTGAAGGCAAGCCCGTCACCAACCAGAAGAGCTCAGGTGAGGTCTTCAAACTTCTTGCACGCTTCCCTTGACTTTATTGACAGCGTCCCATTGTGGTGTCTTACCTAAGAATGGCCTTGGGGAGAAGAGGTTTGGATAGAAAGAAGTTGTAGTGAATTTTTAGAGAACAGGCGCCAAGTACAGGCAGGTCCAAGAAGGTTACTTTGTAACTTGTTTTCGTGCTCTGTGGTTCGTTAATATATTTGATTTGAGCACTAAAGTGACTGACTAGCCCATGGTCATCTGTTTGAATGTAATTCACGATATTCTGTCTTGAAGTTATGTGACTGCAGCCCCATGTCTTGGAGATATATGTTCTTGGTACGAAACAGATCATGCAAAAAGGTTCATGCCCTAGAGGACACCTCCACGTTTCCCTGAAGGCCATGTACAAATGTATGGGATGGAAAAGACACAATGTAATTGCATCAAAATGTCATCAAATGTTATTTTTAAGTGTACCTTTTGGTTGCAGTTTGAACACATGTGCTAATGGGCTAAGTTACCACCAGTAGACTAGTTTGTAATACAGAAAAATACTCATTTCTCATGCCTTGCTGGTCAAGAGCTCTTGCTTTGCTATCTGCTATCTAGCACCACTAGAAAACAGAAAAACAGCTACAGTGAAAGATGGGTTATCCAGGAATGTAAATAAGGACATTCTCATGGCAGAATTGTACTAAAAGGACTTTTTAAAGTCTATCCATTTTAAAACTACTCCCAGTCTATTTATTTTGGCAGAAAGTAGATCACTGCTTGCTTAAAGCCAGTCAGAACTCAAAGTGTACATTTATAACATGGATGTATTTTATTGTATGTAAATTATACCTCAGTAAAGGTTATTTTTAAATTTTAAGAAAAAAATTATGATCTTGCTGTAATTAATGTTTTGCCACAGTAGAAAGTGCTTGTGGTGGTGTGGCCTGTCAGGCTACAAATTATCCAGTTAGATCCAGTTAGTAATGTTATTAGTGGTCCTACATGGTTTAGATTGCAGTGCCCTTTTAGGGAAAAGCCTGGAAATGTTCATCTAGAACAGATCATGTCTTATGTATCCTGTAATGTCACTTTTATTTGCAAGAGGTACAAATAGCACATGAGCTATGTAGGTTATTTTCCTGCAGTTTTCACATTAACAGTTCATCCAGATTTCCTCACTAGAAAATAATAGTGTGCTTATGAGAGAGGTGGCATACAGATAAAACCAAGGTAGAGATGAGCTATACTAAGTCATTAGTGACTTTTAAAAAAAAATTTTATTTATTTTATTTATTTTTGGCTGTGTTGGGTCTTCATTGCTGCGCGCGGGCTGTTCTCTAGTTGCGGTGAATGGGGGCTACTCTTCATTGTGGTGCGCAGGCTTCTCATTGCAGTGGCTTCTCTTGTTGCGGAGCACAGGCTCTATGCGTGCGGGCTTCAGTAGTTGTGGCTCGCGGGCTGTAGAACGCAGGCTGAGTAGTTGTGGTGCACGGGCTTAGTTGGTCGGCAGCATGTGGGATCTTCCTGGACCAGGGCTCGAATTCGTGTCCCCTGCATTGGCAGGTGGATTCTTAACCACTGTGCCACCAGGGAAGCCCCATTAGTGACTTTTGAAAAACACTGTGTGTAGTTACTTATTTTTAATTATTTTTTCTTCGTGTAAGATTACTGTTGTTCAATTGTAGAATATTTGCAAAATACCGATGAGTAAGTATTCTGTCAGGTCTTTATTCTGTGTGTGTGTGTTTAACATAAGTGATACCTTACATATTGTTAGGTAACCTCCCTACCTTTTTCACTTACCAATATATTATGAATGTATTTTCATATTAGTAAAAAAGTTATGCCCAGATAAAAGTCAAGGTTTTTCCTCTCTGAATCTTCCTTAGAAAAGAGTTACCCTATGTGTGAGGCTTTATAAAGACTTTGATAATGAGCATTCTCAGTTAATTTAATTTGAAGTAAAGTACATTTTGGCAAAGACATTAATTACTCTGAAATGACCTTGATCCATGTTAGTTTGGGATACTTATGGAGATCATTTGATTGAATCCGTTTTTTTAAAAAGCAGAAAATTTGAATGCAGTATTTTTCTAGGACATGACCTCACGTGGAAATGTTGGATATCCTTGTAAATAGACCTCTAAAGATCACTTGGTGAGAGATGAAGTACAGAAGTACAGAAGATGGTGACATTGTGGAGTGTGTGATTATCCACTTACAGGACAAATGACGAATATGATTATATGGTGGTGGCATAACATTTTTTAGGGACAGCATTATGCATGGATTCAAAGCATTGCTGTGACTCAAACATAGTAGATGGAAGAAGGATGATGTGTTCTGTTTGAAAGAGTGGATCTAATAATGGTAAAGGCACTGATGCCAAGATGCACGTGAAAAGTGTATATCAGTGTGAAAATGACATGTGAAAGTGGAAAAAACAATGCTTCTGCATCAATTTATTATATTAATATGATTTGAAATATCTAAATATTAAAGCTACTAAATTAAATATTATAGGCAGACAGTTACTATTTCATCTGTATTTTTAAATGTTTATATAATCCAGTTAACTAAATAACTTAAAAAAAAATTCTCGTTGGGGGCATGGGGATTGACTTATGTTAGAGTCATCTTATACTGAAGCATATACTATATATTCCACATTAAAGGGTGGAGACTTTTTAAAGGTTTTGCCACATATTGCCAGATTGCCTTCAGATATTTTTTACCTGTTTAGATTCCTATCCAGGGTATATAATAATGCTGTTTCCCCAGGTCCTTGCCAATATTGGGCATTATTAATTGAAAAATAACGTTTCTCCATTTAGCAGGTGTCTTATGATGAACTTTAAAAAAATGTTTCTTGGCTATTTGTATCTTTTTTGACTATTAAATTAGCTGTTCATGATCTTTGCTCATGTTTCTCTACCAGTATTTCTTTTTCTAATGTAATTTTCTTAGGTGATTTGTAATTGATTCTTTATGTGATACGTAAAGCGATGTTTTTATATGTTAAGGATATAAACCTTTGCATATATATTGCAGATAGTAAGTACTACCTTTCTTGTTTTTGTTTTTGTATCTTTCTGCTCTTTCTGATTTGGTCTTAAATTGTCCAAGATCTTGTCATAGATTCAGTGTTGGGAAATACAGTTGGAACAATGGAATCTATGTGAACATTCATCATAATTTCTTGATTTGCTTTCTTTTCTCAGGGCGATGCTGGATCTTTTCTTGTCTGAATGTTATGAGACTTCCATTCATGAGAAAATTAAATATTGAAGAATTTGAATTTAGTCAGTCTTACCTCTTTTTCTGGGACAAGGTATGGGACTGATCTTGAAATATTCTTTTTGTTTCAATATCAACCTTGGTAGGGACTATCTCTTCGTTTCTTGCTTTTCTAGTTGTAGTCTGCCTTCCATTATAGATGGGAGAGCATTTATTCTGATTTCCAAAGTATCAAAAGTTGACTCTTTCCAAAGGCAGAACTACTTTTGGTTGGTAGGTGGCTACTTTTTGCAATGAAATAATAAGTCTGATGACTCACCTTACTACTTCCTTGTTTCTTTCTTATTTAAAATTTTGTATTTTGTTTTCAGTGATTTCCCCTTTTAGCACCTTTAAGTAGATTATTTGTATTTCTAGGACCTAATTCCCTTTCTCCGGGTAATACTTGTCTGAAAAACAGTAAATTTATTCCAGTTTTTTTATCTTTAAAGTGTATGTTATATGTGTCCATTAGATCTTTATTGATTGAAGACTCTAAATATCAGATTTTTCTGTTTCAGAATAAAGCAGTGCCTTGATTCGGATAAACTATTACAATGTGTACACACAGATAAAGGAAAACACTTCAGACATTCTCATGAAGCCAGATACTGCTTTTTTTTTTTTTTTTTTCCCCCCACACACACCACGTGACATGTGGGATCTTAGTTCCCCGACCAGGGATCGAACCCATGCTCCCTGCAGTGGAAGTGCGGAGTCTTAACCACTGGACCCCCAGGGAAGCCCTAGAGATACTGCTATGTAATTACCAACTTTAGTTTAAAAATACCTACACTGTTGGGTCTACAGTAGTTCCAGGACTCATATTCTGTTGATAATGCCAATAAAGATATTAGCTCTCTTCTCCTTTAATTTTATTTAACTTCTCTTACTCTAGGTTGAACGCTGTTATTTCTTCTTAAATGCTTTTGTGGACAC